TAATTTTTGGATATTGATCTATTAATATGCCAAGTAGTTCTTCTTTCACTTTAAAGTGAAATATCAGATTGGCCTGTGTCTTCTAAACCAGCATATTTATTTGATATCTGATTTTAGGGACTCCGTTTCTCTTTACGAGGTCTTTCCCTATCGCTGATATTTGTGTTTCTCTGGTAGCCTTATGCTCGCTTGAATAACACGGATTTGTATAATGGGTTCGTTGAATTGATAAGCCAGAGCTTCATTTATAATCATTCATCAATACTTCACTTAATTATGTTTTCTGGTAATTGTCTCTTGGTTATAGAATTTTGGGCTTCACCGGATTTGCAGTCGTGCTCTTAGGGATAAACGTCTCAATTTTATTTTCCATTAGACCCTCGCCTTCTTGAGAATGACTTTAATGGCGTGTTCGTAGAGATTAAAATCGGATTAAAATTGAAAAATTAGCAGTCATTGTTGACTTTTATTGCGAGTGAGATTCAATAATAATCGTATTTTCAATTTTAATTGGATTTTAAGCTAGACAGAACACGCCCTGAGTCTTGAAATGAAGAGTTGTGTTTTGCTGCTGAACTTGGGAAAATCCCAAGAAGTTGAAGAGTTGTGTTTTGCTGCTGAACTTGGGAAAATCCCAAGAAGTTGGGTTCTCTCTCGGATTTGAATCAATATGCCCTAGCAGGATAGCTGCTTTTGCTTAAACTCGTCTAGGTTTTTGAATACCTGCGTCGTTTTTAAAAGTACATTCGATGATATGCCAATCTCCTCACAAATTCGAAGGAGTGATTTCGCGATCTTTGGTTTTATAAAAAACAGAACAAGCATAACATTTATGTTTACCATATGTAAAAGTTGGTATTATTAATTTGATTATGCTACTTGTGCGTAAAAATGGTATATAATGAATTAAATAAAATGATATGAAGGGAAAAGATTGGATTAAAAAGTTGACTTTATTTTAAATTGATAAATGATAAAACGTCACGTGATATTATGTATTTTGTACATATTCATGTACATGTAGCAAAATTTTTGTTAATTATAAGACCAAACTTTTTGAAGTTTCTCCGGTACAGAAAACAGGGAAAAATGTGGAGCTCGTGATGCCCACTTGTTATTTCTTTGAACAGTCCCTTTCCCTTGGGGAAAATGTGACCTCATTTCTACTTAGAAAGTGGGCTAACTTGTATTTTTGATTCAGATTGGATCTTGACTGATGTTGAAAAGGCAGTTATTGTTTTCACAAAGGATAAATCTAGATGTACCAAATGTTTTACAAAATGTTTTACCAACTCGCCACTTGGCGCCCCTCCAATGGTGGAGCGCTAAGTGGCGAGTTGATAAAACATTTTGTAAAATATATGTGAGTGTAGCATGGTCCTTTCACAAGTGTAGTTATACGAGGTTAAGCGAAGGTTACCTATTGAATTATTGACCCTCCCTAATCTTATCTTTTGGGATTATATTTTGTACTTGTTGACAAACATTAAAATGAGTATTTTAAGAGAAAATAAATTTTGAAATAGTAATTTTTTTGGAAAATGTGTGGATAAAAAATAGAAAAGTATTTTAATTTGAGAACATGTGATTGAAAATTTTGGCTTTAATATTTGTCAAACAAATACTTGAATGACTTTTAGAAACGTGTTTTCATCTTCTTGTATGTATCTTTTGGCCTTTTGGACATATTCCCATTTGGCTCTAAAGAATAAATACATATTAGACATTTTTTTTTTTTTTTTGAAATGGAATGAAAGATTCATTCAAAGAAGTCAAGCCCTGTTCTCTTTGTGTTTTAATTTTGTGTTTTGAGTTTTGAATTTGTTTTGTGTTTTGTGTTTTGATTGTCTGTTTTGAAATTTCTGAAAATGCATTCTGTTTGCCATTTTGAAAAACTGTTTCTGAAAACATGAAAATGGAAAACGCGTTTACTTTGAAATTTTGAGAATTTTTTTAATCAATATTTTATTCAAAAAATCTGAGGTTGAATTTTGAAGTTGATTCTTTTCATGTGTCAAACTCTATATGTGTATAATAATTCTACTCTTATCGTAACACAAGTTTTGTTAGCGGGAGAGCGGAGTTCAATGTGAAACGATTGCATGTATTAGTCTAAAAATGACTATTTACCATCGTCGTTAAGAGCACCTTTTCAATTCACAAGTAAACTACTTAAAAAAAAAAGTGATGCCAAACTATCATCCTAGATCTTGTGACATAAACAAATCTATATATTGAAATAAACATTAAATTTGAGTTCAAAAGGATAAATCTCACAGTAATAAAAATGGATTTGAACACATTCAAAGCAATATTTAAACAATTTGATCAACATAATATCATTTCAAATCTCCTGAAAACAATGATAGTGTTTCCCTTCATTAAGAACAACGCGACTAAAAATTCAGTGTGAACAACGAGCTATACATAGAAGAGTAGCAACAGCTACACCTAGGACAGACGCGTTATGGCTTGGCTCTTTGCACTCAAATATCCAGATTCTCAAATGCTTTTTCTGTAGTGAAAAACGTAGAAAGTATACATAAATCTATACATAAATCGCATTAGTACAAACTACTGATATTACCAGTTACCACAGACATCTGCATACTAATTTATACAACTTAGAAGTGCACATTGTAGACAACATGACAGTAGCTCCCTGAACTAAAAATGATATATTAATCCACTAATAATGATAAAATGAAATTTCAAGTTTATTAATTCCGCTTCAAAGAAACAGGAGGACAATCCAATCGCAATATAATTGCAACGAAACATGGTTATTACTCTTGAGTTGCCACTTGAACTTCCTCCTCTAGCATGGAAACAAAATTTGCAATAGAATTCAGGGCAAAGACCTCAATGGCAAGATCTATATAACTGAATTTGTACTTGAGACAGTTCCAAGCAAATGACTGAAAGAAGCAAGCTTTCTTTAACCATCAACACAGTTACAATTCTTAAACTATAAATAAAACTATAGAAAATGTGTGTGTGGTGGAAGGGTGAGTTAGGATTCCCTCCCAAGTCCAATCCAAAACACAGTACATAGCTTTTAACATTACCACTGAAAATAATGAAGCATCGGATTGTCCGAAATTTTGAAATAATTCAAATTTAAAGCAGGATGACAGAAACTAGTATTGGAACTATGCAGCATTACCAATCAACATTTCAACTAGTATTGGCAACCTCTTCTCGACATTTCAACTAGTAAGTTCAACTAGCTTTTGAGTTGGATAAATGAATTAAGTTAAACACTAGATACAAATACAGTTAATTAAACACTTCATAGCAGAAATTCCATTTTCTTCTAGTGTGATCTTCTATCCCAAACCAAGATCCTAATACCTAATGGCAATTTCGCTCATCAGTTCAGTTTTGAATCTTCGTGAAAGAGTAATAAATCAGAATTATGCTCATTTATTTGCCAACAATTCTCATACCAATGTTAAACAGGAACCACATTAAAATTTCTCCACCAAAAAATAACGACAAAACATATTACAAATAGCCTCTAGCGCGAGCTCCACCTCCACCTCTAGCGTGAGCTCCACCTCCACCACCAGCTCCACCTCCACCTCCAGCACCAGTGATCGCCCCAACTGTTCCCCAACACGCCTCAATTTCTCACCAACCAAATAAAGAAACATCTTTGAAATCGGACCCAACAATTCAAAAATTGAATACTCGCGAATAACTATAGATTATTACAATCAAAGAAACAAAACCTTGATCTGGAGATATGAAATCTTGATTACACCCTTCCTCTCGTCGCTGCAGCGTGCGATTCGGCTTGACCGGAACAAAATTCCCCAAAATTCGAAGATCCCGTGTAGCACCCTTCCTCCCTTCGTTGCAGCCTTCGATTAGGTAGGGATTTCGCTGCCATTGATCGATTTACAGGGAGAGGGTTCAGTGAGAGAATTGTGAGAGAGGGAGAGAGTTGAGCGTGTTTTGTGAGAGAGAGGCCCAAAGGCCCGTTTCGATTGTTTTGAACTTTTGGCTTGTTTTCCCAAACATTTTACAAAACAATGTTTTTGTTGTTTTCCGTTTTCAGTTATACTTTTTTTTTCATTTTTCAAAATGCGTTTTCGAAAATAAGATAGAGAACGCGTTTTCGTTGTTTTGAGAAATTAAAAATAGAAAATGGTTGAAAAACGACAAAGAGAACATGACCTAAGTTATTGTGTAATTTTTTGTGTACAAGGTCATCATGTGTAATAATCTAAGACTTTGATAGGGACTACCTCGTACCACAACACCAACTTTTTAATTTGTTCCAACACATTTTACGTTTTATTCAAAAAATGAATAAATTACTACCTTCCCGGTGCCGGAAAAAGCACAAATGATAAAGAATTTTGCAAAGAATCATGGAGGGTTTGATTTTATATTACTTATTTATTTCAATTCTTTGAAGTTGGTCGAGGAATTTAATAATACCTGAATGCTTCTGTGGGGACATAAATTTATATAAATGTCTACATTCTAGAGAGAAAAGAGTGTGGGTATGTTTCCTCTTTTCTTTATTTTAATCTGCTCAAGTATGAATTTTTACGTTCTCAGGAGTGTTTTGAAGAACTCGGGTTTTTGTTTATGGCTTCTGGGTTTTCGGGTTGAGAACATTGGACCCTGCATGCACACTGAAATCTAATTATTTGATTTCTAATCTCTTTCTGGGCTTTTTCTTATTGATCTGGTAAGTCTTGTTTTTACCTTTTTCCCCCCTTTTACTCCATGCATTTTGTGGGATTAGACCTGGGTTTTTTTAACAATTTTTTATATTTTTTGCTTCTTGTTCTTGATATGTAGTGATTAACGTGTTTTTCTGTTTAATGGGGCTTTTTAGTTGGTTTTAATAGATTGAAGTTGGATGTGGGTTTCATGCAATTGTTTGCTGTCGATTGAATAAGTTTTTGGCATTGATTTCTTGAAAAATTTATTTAAGAGCGTGAATAGAGAGGAAAGGGGGCTGTAGAATGGTAACGCAGGCAATGGGATCTCAGGGGGTTGGTAGTAATGGAGCCCGAACCCAAACTCAAGAGCCGAAATTGAATCCACTGGCTAGCCACGGATCCTTGTCTATCCTCACTCTTGATGAGGTGAAGAATCAATTGGGGGATTTAGGAAAGCCACTGAGTAGCATGAACCTTGATGAGCTTCTCAAGACTTCGTGGAGTGCTGAGTCTAATAATCAAGCAGTGGAGGGTGCAGATTTTGGTCCCACTGTGCAGCAGCCTGGTCAGCAGATACCGTCATCCTCTTTGAACCGACAGTCAAGCCCCACACCGTTGAGGGATCTGAGCAAGAAGACTGTTGATGAGGTGTGGCAAGATTTTCAGCAGAGGCAGAAGAAGAATGGTCTTGATAGGAAGGCTACTCTTGGGGAGATAACACTGGAGGATTTCCTGGTTAAGGCAGGAATTGTTGTTGAGTTGTCTCCCGGGGAAAAAAGTTTGGGCTCAGTGGTAGGGCCTGTTGATCCAATGGCATTGCGACGGCAAGTGCAGTGGACACATTATCAGTTCCCTTCAAATAGTCCACAGCAGCAACAGCAACAGAATATGCTGCCTGTATTTGCCCTGGGCCATTCACTTCAGCAGCCTAATCCTATTGGTGGAAATTCAGTGGTGGACACAGCTTATCCCGAAGCCCAAATAACCATGTCACCATCCACTTTGATGGGAACTTTATTGGACACAGAAGCACCTGGAGGAAAGAGGGATGCTTCTGATGGTGCAGTTGAAAAAAATGTCGAAAGGAGGCAGAAGAGAATGATCAAGAACAGGGAATCAGCAGCAAGGTCTCGAGCAAGGAAGCTGGTAAGTTTCGTACACCTAACATGCAAAGTTTTTAAATTGTCCTGTTTCTTTTCTGTGTCTATTAGATCATTGGAAATTCTCTTTTAATTGATAGGCTTACACCAATGAGCTGGAGAACAAGGTTTCACGTCTCGAAGAGGAGAATGAAAGGCTTAGGGGACAGACGGTAGCTCTATCATCTCTATGCTCAATTTTTTTTGTACCCTTCCTTCCCTTATTATTCAGATCACAATGCATAAAGATGTATGCTCTGTACTGTCACCTAATTGTATTTTGTGGTGGTTTTGAAAATGAAGTCAAGTATTTGTCCTGTTAGTTGCTATATATGCCTTTCAAAATATGTGTTGTGTTGCAGTATTGTTTGGCTTTTTATTGGCAGTGCTTGCATGGACTCAACTTCTTTTTCCGGCCCATAAGCAAATTTTTTAACTGATGTAAAACACGTAAAAATCATTTAAAATTCTTAGGAGTTTCTTATATATTTATGCAACAATAGTGGCGCAGTCATTAATAACTTACCTGTGGCTGCAATATGGAGGAAAATTGCCTGACGTAGGTCACTGTTTCTAGGAAAACTTAACTCTTAAGTTCTTGTGGTGCGGTTCTTGGAGCATTCCTATCAGTCATACCATCTTATCCTAAACATGACTCACAATGATTGAATGCTAAAGAGCTCATAAATTGAGTTTGTATTGTTTTCCACCTTAAAAGCATCCAATTGTTCTCCAACAAGTTATATTTTGGTTGGTTGATATATTGGAGGAAAGGGAATAGGAAAAGTAATTGATGAAGAAATGACTCTCTCTGAATTAGTTTTAAAAATTTCTTGTATAATAAAAGATTAAGAAAATAGGAAGGCAAATTACATCCTAAAGTTTCCCTCTTGTTTTTTGCCCATGTTGTTAGAAATTAATATTATCTTCATGCTTCAACTGTCTTTTATGGAGCTATTTTTACATTTTAAATCAATAAAAACCACTCGAGAATAGGGCATTTAGGTTTTGTGGGAACCAATGTAAAAGAGCATCATGTTGCTCTTTTGTGAGCTCTAATAATCCAAATTTACATCAAAGAATATTGATAAATAGGCTTGTTTGCTTTGCAAGTTTCTGATTTCATTTTGTTTACTATGATCTCAGAGTTAAACATTAACGTATAATACATAACACTGTTGTTGCTACTCAAACACTAAACCGTACGGTGTATGCACGAATATTTGCTCTCCTATCTTCTAGAAAAGGATCGCATGATACTGAAACTATCTTACTTAGGATCCCAAGTTTTTCTGTCATCTAATTGTATTACTGCTTGGTCTTCATCTGTCAGTTTGGTTCGTTGCTAGACTGATGTAATTGATTTGTCCTTGCAAGTGTGGAATGTCCCATGTTACGAATTTCCGGTTTTCATTGTAATTTACAAAAATCAGGATGTTACATGCTTATATTTCATGATATGAACATGGCCTTGCATATCAAGGAGTAGCTATTCACACACAAGACAGTTGTATTCTCTTAGGTGCAAGGACAATCCATTAATTTCTTATTCCATGTTGGGTTTCTAAAACCCTTTTTTTTGGGTAGATGTGTGTTTGTCTTAGTTCTTTAGACCACTGTCACTTCAGCAATTAAGCAAGCATAATTCTTGTGGATCTTTCGGGATTTCTTACACCTAGTTATATCTTTCAATATAGCTTCTCAATCTGAGACTCGTCATTTTTGGTACCATTGATGAGTTAGAAATTTTTCTACCTTTCCCTAATCAAGCTTATTCACTTGTCTTGTTGGTATTTCTGCTTGGATTTTAGGCATATAGGTAATTCTTAGTTCCCAGCCTGCTGCAAAGGAACTCAAAATTGACCTTTGGAAAGAGTAAAAGATAAACTATAAAGAACTGTAAAATAAGTAGAATCGGTGTCTTGCAGGTGCTCCTTCACATATTGGTCCAGAGTTTAGATTTTATAGGAATAAAAGAGAAGCTCTAGATAAAATGGATTAATAAAACAGTAAAAACCAACTTCTCATGTAACTAATATAAGGGTGTATTTGCATCAACATTCCTGAGGAAGCGATGGAGAAAGAATCGGCTTTGAGTCCTTTCATTTCTGAACTTCACATAATGCAGATAGGATGCTGGCAAAACAAAATATACGTGGATGACTTCTAGTGTTTACCTGCACCCTGCTTCCGTTCCTCTTTGTGAGAAAGATAGGCATGTTGCTTCTTCTTTTCCGAGGGTTTTCTTACCTCATTCCATTCCAACGGCTCAACCAGTAAACAATAGCAAAAACTTAAAAATCCACGATTCCCCTGTTTACCAGAGCTCGACTATAGTACTTAAAACAGTCATACAAAAGCATCTGGCAGAAACGAGTGTTCATGAAATTCTGGTTGCCTATGGGCATTTGGGAATATCTAACTATTTCATCCCACCTTGAGTAAAGCCCATGTTCCTACTTATAGCAAAACTAATAGTCCTAAAATAAATCCAAAAAATAACAAATTTGGAAACTGAGTTGGTTTTATTACTAGTAGCATTGTCATGCATCACGTATGGTGTCACTGATAGCATGATCTACATGATCCACCCGAGTAAGATTCATAATGCCAATGTCAACCACCAATTTTTTTTTAAGATCAGACTTAACAATAAGTGTCAATTTGTTGTTGAAATTGAAATTATTATTTTTATATTCATATGCTTTTTCTTCCTTGTAGTGGAGAATTCCTTCTCCCTTAATGCGGCAGACAATGGATTCCCCATTCTCCTTCATTGTGTGTGTGATTATGTAGCCATTGATGCATAGATTAGGTCAGGCTTCCTAGCATATATAAAGGGTTATCTTTTCTTAATTTGTCTTTTTTGTTTTATTTGTTTTGTGTCGGGGCCATGGACATTTTTTTGTTCGATGAAATTGAGACGTGTAAAAAACCTTGTAATCTAGGAAATTCCCGAGCTTGTCTATGAAGAGTGGATCTAATTGTATTATCAGTTGGTCTTTCATAAGTCAGTTTACTTGTTTCTTTGACTAACAGAGATATTTGTTACTTCCTTCTGCATTCATTAAGCAGCCCCATATGTATATTATACTCATTATTGTAACTGTACTCGCAGGAATTGAAGAAGGTGTTGCCTAGTATACCACCACCAGAACCCAAGTATCACCTGCGCAAAACGTTCTCAGGCCCGCTCTAGGCCATGGATTTACTATGTTATGTCATTTTCCTGTTGATTTACTAGTGGTAGTTAACTTTTTCGAGTGAACCCATGTCCTGTTTGTACATTTTATAGTGTTGTGACCTGAAATTTGACTCATTTTTGGCAACCTGGATGCATTTCTGTCATCGATTTTGGCCTTTAAGGATGACCCATTTTTTCCAAGGTTCAAGCAGGCATTTTTCAAGTCAATTTACATATTATCTGTTTCTGGTATAGTGAGTGCATAATTGCAGGTAAGGCTGTCCGTGGGTCGGTTCGGTTCGGTTCTGAAGATACCCGAACCGACCCAAAACTTTCGGATATTTAATAAATGGACCCGTCGGGTCCAAATATAATTATGGAACCGTTCGGGTTCGGTTCCGTTCGGTTCGG